CTATCACAGAAACTATTCAATATCGTGATGTAAAAGTTTAGGAGCACATTTGTGACAAATGTTTAAGTAAATACGATCAGATTTACATATTTTGGATACCTCTTGTAATGCATAGCATTTTTCTAAGTAAGATATTTACAATATTTCTGTAGCGATTGTAGTGAGATATATAAACTTTTCTATTCTTAAAGTAGAGATACCAAACATTAATCTTATTTAAAGTAATAGTATTTATGGTACAAAATTTACTGAGCTATTGCCATTTGATAAATGTCTTCCTCTATAGTTATATCGAAAAAATGGTCAAATTTGGACCAATGTGGCACACTGTTTGAATTAAATAAGTAACGTTTGATGACCACAAACTTGCTGCAGAAAAACCAACTCAAGGTCACCAACTCAGCTAAAATACTTTTGAAAAGAAATGCCATTAAATAATATTTATTTTTTTTTTATTTTCTAAAAAGCAGCAAAAATATAGATAATGACTTGTTTATGGTATTTGTGGCAGTAAAATCAGATTTTTACTTTATGTCTTCCCTTAAAAAGAGCTTGGTGAACACTGAAGTAGCAAATGAAATTTTCTCTGCAAGAGTTCAGAGCACCAAATTTGACTCACAGAAACGTTTTCTGTAATGGGCATGTTATATTTGATATTGCATAATAATATAGAACGACATAACATTAAAAATAACTTGTAATTGCGATATATAATTATTCAAAAAGAATCCTGAAGATGAGAATGTATGAAAGTTGTCGTAACATTGTGTTAGTGTGGAGAATATAATAACAAAAATATGTGAAAATTGCATTGTGTTTTTTAAATAAGCCAACTAAAAAAGGGGTATTTATAGTTGAATAAAAAATTGCGAACATACTTTAAAGGGGTGAACAACTTCTATAATGAGGAAACGCCTTAGAAAGAGAAATCCAAAAATTTAAAACTCATCTATAGAGCTTAAAACATACGTACTCTGAACTTAAAAATGTAACAGCCATGTCATATTTAAACAAGAAAACAGGCCATTAACCGTAAGATACGATGTCAGTCGTCAAAGACATCGATGTATCACTGTGCATAAACTTACCCACGCACGCCCTCACAAGCTCACGCACGCCTTCAGATGTCTACGCTCGCTCTCGTTCGCCCTCACCTGCCCACCTTATCCCGACACCTACGTACGCCCACGCACGCCCACGCACGCCCTCGCACGTTCACGCACGCCTTCAGATATCAACGCTCGCTCTCGTTAGCCTTCACACGCTCACGTTCTCCTACCACTGACCCACGCAAGGTCTCGCACGCTCTCACACGTTTGCATACGCCCTCACACACCCTCAACGCTCTCATACGCCTTCATACGCTCTCACAAGCCTTCACACGCCCTCACACCCCCTACTCTCGCTCTCATCCACCATCCCTCGGCCTCGCTCGTCCACGCCCGCCCACGCCCGTTCGCGCCTGCCCGCCCGCCCGCCGGTCGACCGCAGCGGTGCTCGCTGCGGTCGCAAGTTGCGCGATTAATCACTGGAGCGTGCCACCGCATCCGATGCGCCCGCCCGCACTCCTCGCCCGTGCGGAGGTTCCTGCTGCACGCTACAGTGGGCGAGGCGCTCTCTTATTCTACTTGAGTGTTCCTCAGCCCTTTAGATATTGCGAAACGGTCGACGGCGGTCTTCATAACTCGCGGCACCCCGCAGGAAAACACCTGCTCCGTGATAAATATGAGAACTCTGAGACGCGTTGTCCAAATGAAAGAAAGAGCTTCGTGATGTTCTGTTCTTTTTTGGCATTGTTCTACACGTACATATATAAAAGTTCGTTCTTGGGGACTGGCAACTGTTTAACTCGGCACTTTTCGGTCTTGGTTCTAACTTTTATCAGAGATACACACCGAAAATACGAATTTTCACATTTTCGTTTTTGTTTATGGTAATTTTTGTTATCAAAATCTCATCGAGATCGTCAAAATCGCCCAACTCCTTCAATTTGCGTGCGCCCACGTCTTTCATGCGACCGTGACTGGTGGAAGTATTAAGTAGCACCAAGTACACATTATATTGAATAAACAAATTGAATATAAAATGTTGAACCATTTTCATCAAAATAAACACATTACAGAGAAGATATTTTGGATAAACTCAATCTTTCCTTCTAATAAAAGAATTTTTTGTTGGCAAAATCACTCTGAACCTCTATGTTCAAAAATACTTGACATAAATGATAATAGAAACACAGAAAGGGAACTAAATTCAAATCTAATGAATTAGAAACTCTTTTAGGAAGTCAATCAATATGAAATTACTATCTCATAAATTAATGAATTACTTGCAAATTTCCAAACATTTACAAAATTGGAAACTGTTTTTTGAAAATTACCAACCTTCAACAACGCAATAATTTCATATTACTAAAATATTAAATATTATTTCATTTTAACATACTTCGAATTACACTATACAGGTATTAATGATGAAAATAATTAGAGTTTAGAACAACTACATTTTCTACGCATTTTTGTTAATATGCACCAAAATACACATTGTCACCTGTAAGCTATTATTCTGTGTTAGTGTCTAATCCAAATATGAGATAATTTTCAATTAGTTCAGAGAATTCTGTCGCAAAATATTTTTTAACTATATTTGGTTCTTTTTCGGATTTGCGTAAGACTTCCATATTCCCCCCCCCCTCATTTTTGAAGAGATGAGCACTCCGTCACCTCTGATTTGTGCGACTTCTACTTCTGCAATTGCTCTATTAAATCGTTTTGTATGCGAATCAATATAAGCGACTGTTTCTATCTTTATGGGAATCAGAAGTTAGTTAAATTTAATAAGAATAAGTTGGGATAACATTCATTTGAAAATCAGTATTTGCACATTTAAGAACGTAAATGTCAGAAGTCGAGCATAAGTACGTTCATTCATTCTCTGGCATCTATCACAGTTTTGTTTTCTCCATATTCACTTGGAATTCTTCAAATTTAATTAGTTCCTTTGAAATACTGTTATTGGGTTTTGTAAGTTTGTGTTTTAAAAATACGGTAATATGGAAGAAAATTAAAATATAATCTACCGCGCGTTTCATGTGGTATTTCACTTGATATATTCAAGTTGGCAACATCAGTGTTGCCAACGTCGTGAATTAAAATTACGGCGTACGGAGTGAAAACTTGATAAAATGAAGTGTGATATAATTGCACGTAAGTAATATTTCTTAACGTCCAACCGCTGTCCATTCCTCCTTGCTACTTGATTGGTAGGCGTAATAAAGCGGTCAAAAATATTTCGTTCACCTGCGAAACAGTAGTAAAAGTATAATGGGCCACAAATTACAAACAAGTGTCACATATTAAACTTCGTTGTGTGCAATTTCCTACCACGTGGTTACTGACAAAAAATAAAAGTCGATTACACATTCACTCAAGATGGTTGTAAAACGAAATTCTAGTCACCCCAAATAACAGCTGGTACCGTAACCTAATGAGAAGCTGCAGATTTTTAAACATCTTCGAAATTTCATGCATTATGTTACACTGAGACCACATTCCGAGAAATGGTAGTTTAAAACTGTTTCAACAGAGGGAATTAAACCATTCTTCGTTCATTGAATGTAACATCTACGATCTAGAATTCGTGGAAAACTTCAGTTGCTCGCTCTTTCTTGGTAAATTTTGAAACGCTGAGATTACAGTTTGTAAAGTGACATTAAAATTAAGTGTCAACAATCAAAATTAAACCATTATTCGATCGTTGAATGTAACTTCTAGTAACGTGACTTCATGAAAGTTTTATATTCCAAATTATCTTATAATATTATTGTAATTTCGGGTATTTTGTAAAGCAGTGTTCACTTTACCAAAAGGGAGTTGTAGTAGACATTTTTAATGATTAGATGCTTTTCTAGCAATTGAAATTATACGAACAACGATTTCCGTAGTCTCTTGCATATAAATAAATGCATAAATACATTTTATTTGGAAATCTATTCAGAAATTGCGCGTGCGGATAACAGCATCCGTCACATCACGTAAGTCAGAGAGGATTGCGTGGATCGCTTCGTGGGCAAAATCAGTACAAACAAAATATTTAGCACCAAGTTTAAACAAACATTAGAACATTCGCAATTTCCATACCTACAGCGCTTCTACAATTTAGTTTTTAGTCACCAGGTAACAAATATTTACAAAATCTCTAAAAAATATATAAATATAAAACAAAGAAAATAGAACAAAAATAAATCATAATATTGCATTCAAGCACAGACACGTTTCTCATTGATACTAATAAATGGAACAAAAAAACTTAGAAAAATATACATACCAAAAAATTATTGGAAAAGTAAAAACGTTACAAAATCGAATAATATTTATTTACAAGGCAAAATTATTTGATTGACTTTTTCGAAATTAATTTACAACCTGGTATAATATAAGTGTTACGGCAAATATACGTGTAATATTTGGTACCGATTTTAAAACCCGTAGACCAACTAAAATTTATTTTAAATGCTATTTTAAAACATAGACTGTTTTAAAAAAATGTGTTGTTCAAGGGAACTTACTTCGTTTACTTTGTATTTTAAGTTAAACAATGTTGAGGATGTAAAATGACAGTTATCAAAATATGTATTTTAAATGATTCAATAAACAATTTATTAGTATTAAAAGGTTAATAGGCATCTACTCACAAGTCTCTCGTATCTTGTGTTTTGTTTCATTTCTTCTCGGTTTTTCAGTCTTGTTGGACTTTCTTTTAATGAAATATATGGAAAATGTTTATATTGTTTTCAAAACAGAACCAAAAGGTTGTGATATTAAAATTGATACGAATATGGAAAGTTTTTCATTAATTTGATTAATTTCGTATAACGAATATGGAATGTTGTTTGGAACGGTTTGTTGCTTTGACACAAACTATTTTCGTAAAGTTCTTGTAGCTACTGAAAGAAACATTCTGGCTCAGTTGGACGAATTCCTGATCTTAAAATTCAACATTTACATTCTCAAAATGAACCTTTCATTAGTATTTGACAAATTGTGAGAACTAGTGATATTTTCAATAAAAGCTTTAAAAAGTTGATAGTATATAACGTGTGCTTTACTCAACAAAACTACAAAGTAGCATACTATAAAAGTATCCTTTACATATTATATGTTTGTACTTACATTTTTAAATTATTCACATTTAATCTCCATACGCATCAACTTACCTAAAACAAAACAGAGATAAAAATTAAAAGGACAACCACTAACTACTAAGATGTTTTTTTATAATTGTGTGTTTGAGCAACAAACTTGAAATTACTAAGTTGTATTTGTTTTATCTCACAAAAGAAAGGCTATATATTTAAATAGTAAACAGAATGAATCTTTTCAGGTGCGTAAAAAATCGACGCCGTCACTTTCTCACTCAGATGAGCCAATGCTTCCAATGTAGTTTTGTTGAAAAACACTTTTTTTATCTTTTGTGGCGGTTTCTCTTTTTCTGTAACACGTATGTGGCTAAATGTTCTGAGCGCTATGTCGTTTGTGAGTGTGTGTGCTTGCTTTTAATCAGGCTATGCTAATTGTGTGCCTGTATGTACTGCGGACTATGCCAATTGTGTTAATCGTGTGTGTTGTGGTAGCTCCGCATGCCTGTGTGAGGTTATGGTGGTACCCATTAAAAAGTAATCTATAAGGCTTAGAGATGTGTTAAGAAGGTCGTGAGCACGCGCCTGTGCATATTTAAGACAATGATACTATGGGCTGAAGCGTCATTTAGATAGTGTGAGCTAACGTTTGAACAGAACTTGGGAAGGGCATAAAGAAACTTTTCACAAAGCATTGAGACCTTTTATGTATGCTTATCTGGGTTTATTGTCTTTGCTTTTAACCGACTTTCTAATGTGCTCAATTGTGGGCGAAGCGTGATCGTGTGTTTTCGTGCTGCGAGCTGTTCTAATCAATGTGTGCCCCTCTAACTTCAAGACATAGCATTAACAAGATGAGGACTCAGAGAACTAGCAATGATTGTTTCTAATATGTACAAGTATATATACAGAAAATTTGTATATATACACTGAAGAGCCAAAAAACATTGTACATCTGCCTAATATCCTGTAGGGCCCCCACGAGCACCAGAAGTGCCGAAATACGACGTGGCATGGACTCGACTAATGTCTGAAGGAAGTAATGATGGAGGTAATTGACAGCATGAACCATGCAGAGCTATACATAAGCTTGTAAGAGTACGAGGGGCTGGATATCTCTTCTGAGCCCACGTTGCAAAGCATCCCAGATATTTTCTATAATGTTCATATTTGGGGATTTTGGTGGTCAGTGAAAGTGTTCGTGTTCTGAAAAGTGTTTTTGGAGCCACTTTGTAGCAATTCTGAACCTGAGGGCTGTCGCATTGTCCTGCTGGAATTGCCCAAGTCCGTCGGGGTGCACAATGGACGTAAATGGGTGCAGGTGATCCGTCACGATGCTTACGTACGCGTCACCTCTCAGAGTCGTATCTAGACGTATCAGGGGTCCCATATCACTCAAACTACAAACTACAAACAAACCACCAGACAGCCTCCAACAGCTTGAACCGTTCCCTGATGAAAAGCAGGATCCATGAATTCATGAGGTTGTCGCCATACTCGTACACGCCCAACCGCTCTACACACTGTAAAACCAGACTCGTCCGACCAAACAACGTGTCTCCAGCCATCAACAGTCCAATGTCGGAGTTGACTAGCCCAAGGCGTCAATCGTTGAGTTGTGCAGTCATTAAGGGTAAACAAGTGGACGTTTGGTTCCGTAACTCCATATCGATAGTGTCTCGTTGAACTTGTTGTCTCTTGTTGATGGCCCAGCAATGAAATCTGCAGCAAATTGCGGAAAAGTTGCACTTCTATCACGTCTAATAATTCTCTTCAGTCGTCGTCGGGCCCGTTCTTGTACGATCTTTTTGCGATCATGATTTTTTGAACTTATATCGTTAAATAACTCATGAATGAAGCGTCTTTGGGCATTAAAATCTAAAATTGTGAGTCCAAAGGCCTCAAAGGAACGTTTTTCACAACGTAATGTACAGAATAAATACGTCTAGGAAGTTCTATTATATTTTTGCTGCCGGAGAGGGGGGAGCTAGAGACAGAGAGAAACGGAGATGAATGGCGCAACAACGTTCACTGGGTTCCGCTAGTATGTACATATTTTAGGAAGCTTAAAATTAGTGATATTTTTCTGATGTGGTTTCGTGTTAAAAATGCAACACAACGTGTCACAGCCGATCGCGGTGCACAACGTATCACAGCCGGATCAACGTATCACAGCCGGTGCCGAGATTCCTAAGGCAGTAGTGCCGCAGCGATCTCGGACCGAAGGAGCGCGGGTTCGAGTACCGCCTCGGGCATGGTTATATTATATTCGTCCTTTCACTCCCCTATCATCATCCTATCGTGTCATCTTCACAGTAACCAAAACGTTATAAGCAATAGTGGTCGCTAATGACCTAGAAGTTGATGCGACTTTAAATAACAAAAAAAATCGTATCACAAGTATTATATCACACAAACTAATATATCACACAAATTGAGTTTTTATCATGTCTTTTGCCTTGGCTAAAATACTCAGACTATTTGAAAACAACATTTAGAGCACTTTTGAAAATATTTATAGAATTTTAAGTCTTATTATATAATGCTCTTTAATATATTTCTATATGAAGATATATAAAAAGATATCTTGAAGATACATTTGTGTATCAAGATACAACTGTCTTTTTTAACACAAACATGAAATATGTTTTGTAATTACATAACTAATATTATATTGCAACCAGAAAATAGATTTCTCCATTTTCAGAAACAAAAAAACAATGTTTATTTTGTTTGAATCAATTTAAAATGTATTAATGTCTATATCAATTTATAATTGATCAAAATAGCAAAACATCAATAAAATAAAAATTTAAGCTGTAGGTTCTGTGGACCCTTACCCGTCAGTAATGCACGGAACCATTTATACATTGGTAATATTACGAATACAACTGTGTCCTTTACTAATTGCTGTGTAATTATGTGAGCTTATTGTGTTTGCTATTTTCAGAGAACCTAAAATTTAGGAGGACCAGACATTCACAATGAGACATCTCCATTAGGCAAAAAATTTAATTCTGTTGTTTGTACCTAGAGTTTAATTTCCAGAAAAAAAATCGTGGAATGTCTTTCAATACATTAAGTAGTGTTTGAGTTAAAACAGTGTTTAAAAGTGTAAAACGTGAGCTATGTTTTATATTTTTATGTGCTATATTTTCCATATTTTCCAGTTCTTTTACAGAGTGAAGGCGACATTTTTGTTTTTAATGTTTGGGGCTCAATGACAGTCATATGCCTCTGTGCTTCTGCGAGCTTCAGAGCTGAGTCGCAGGTGCGCTAAAAGCACATACGCGCGTGTGCGTGCGCAGGCTGTACTCGCCTGAGGGTGGCCGAGCCCATCATCTGGCGCGCCTTCGACAGCTGCCTGGCGACCACACTGGGGCGACATGGCGCGCACCTGCTCTTGGTGGCGCGCCCGCGAGGGCGCAGCGCCAGCCCTGCTACGAGTACAGTGAGTGCACGCACGCTCCCGCTCCCTCGACGTCCTTGGGATCATCAGCGATGAGGTGAAGGAAGAGGAGGGGAAGCTACAGGAGGAGGAGGTGGAGCTAGAGGTGGAGAAGGGGGAGCTATAAGAAGAGGAGGGGGAGCTACAGGAGGAGGAGGACGAGAAAAATGACAAGGAGGAGGTTGGGAAGGACGAGAAGGAGGAAAGAGATGGGGATAACAAGGACAGGTAAGAAGAGAAGGGTGAGGTTGAGAACGAGTAGCAGGAGATAGATGAGTGGCGAGAAGGATGAGTAGTAGGAAAATTAGTAAGAGGTTGAGAAGAAGCTACAGGAGAAGGAGGAGGAGGAGAGGGAGCTACAGGCGGTGGAGGGTGAGCTACTGGTGAAGGATGAGAGCTAAGGAAGGAGGAGGAGGAGAAGAATGACGAACAGGAGGTTGAAAAGAATGAGTAGGAGGAGAGGGATGACGATAAGACGGACGGGTAAGAAGAGAAGAATGAGGGGGAGGATAAATAGGAGATAGATGAGAGGTGAGAAAGATGAGTAGTAGTAACATTAGTAAGCGGTTGAGAAGAAGCTACGGGAGAAGGAGAAAAATGACAAGGAGGAGAAAAATGACAAGGAGGAGGTTGAGACGACTACAAGGACGAGTAAGGAGAGAAGGATGAGGTGGAGTACGAGTACGAGATGATGGATGAGAGGTGAGTAGGATGAGTAATAGAAAAATTAGTTGGAGGTTGAGAAGAAGCTACAGGATGAGGGGGAAGGAGTAGAAGGAGGAGCGGGAGCTACTAGAGGAGGAAGAGAAGAATGACAAGCAGGAGATTGAAAAGGATGAGTAGGAGGAGAGGAATGAGGATATGACGGGCAAGAAAAGAAGGATGAGATTGAGGACGATTAGGAAGAGAAGGATGGCGGTGAGAAGGATGAGTAGTAGGAAAATGAGTAGAATGAGAAGAACGAGTAAGACGATGAGGACGAGGGCGAATAGGAGGGGAAGAAGGAGAACGGTGAGGTACAGTTAGAGATGAAGAGTGACAAGAAGGCGGGTGGAAAGGATGAGTAGGAAAAGAAAGTGGATGATATGGTAAGGACGAGGGCGATGAGGAGCAGGACTAGTAGGAGGATGAGGATGGGAAGGAGAAGGACGAGGAGTAAATTGCAAGGATGAGTAAGAGACGAAGAAGGAACATGAGTATGACAAGGGCGACGGGGATGAGGATTAGAAGGATGAGTAGGAGGAAAAGGAGTGGTAGGATGAGAAAGATAAATAGGTTGTGAATGATGAGAATGAGAAGGATGAATAGGAGGTAAAGGATGAGGATGAGAAGGAGAAGGTGTAAGATGAGGATGAGAAGGAGAAGGGAGAGGACAAGAAAAATATGAGAAGAATGAGTTGGGGAAAAATAAAAGGGAGGGTGAAAAGAGCGAGTAGGAGAAGGACGAGAAAATTGGAATCATCGGTAGGGGAAAACAGAGGTGGAGAATGAATATGATTAAGACGAGGAGGGTGAAGTTGAAAAGAATGAGAAAGAAAAAGACGAGGGTGTGTGAGAGAAACAGAGCGATGAGTACGAGGAGGAGGATGAGAACATGCAACAGGGTAGTACGGAAAGACGAGGAGGAAGG